CCTTGAGAAAATGGCCACTTTGGAAGGTGGAGTCTAAGACATTATAGCCCATTGAAGTCCCACCCCTCCCCAAACCCCAACCTTTTCAGGCTCCACCCCTAAAATCTCCAGGTATTTCTCAACCCAGAACTGGAAACCATAGTTTAGTGTAGTGGTTAAGAGTGTGGGCTCTAATCTGGGAGAACAGGGTTTGATTCCCCACTCCTCCACATGCAGCTGCTGGTGTGATGATCTTGGATCAGTCTACAAGTTCTCTCAGAGCTGTTCTCTCAAGAGCAGTCCTCAAAAGAGTTCTCTCAGAGTTTCACAGGGTGTCTGTTGTGGGGAGGGGAAGGGAAAGGAGATTGTAAACTGCTCTGAGATTCTGAGTGTAGGGCAGGGTATAAATCCAATCTCTTCTTTTCCTTCTTCTCTTTCTCCTCTTAGATTAGTAACAGGCAGTGATGCCTCTATAGCTCTTGGTGAACTGAGCTCAGAGATTCACGAATGCTTACGCTGGTGCCAGTGCCACTGGGCTCCTGTGGATTCTGTACATTCTCCAGGACCAGACATCATGAAGCTAAATGTCTCACACTGTGAAAACCCATTGACAAAAAAAGACCAAATTTGATACGGCTGTGTAAAAATCTCTAAATTACTTGTGTGCGTGTGGGGGGGAGAGATAAACTCAAAAGCAGTTATGTACACGTCTTCAATTGTAATTTCTAATCTAGCCCTAAAGATTTGGGATCTGTACCCCAAAATATGCCTTGATCCACCCCAAAACCCATGTCATTGGCATACTGTCACAAAGCATGACATAAAGGACTTTAAAGTATCCAAAAATAAATTTTGGCTTGTACCCAAAAATCATACATCCCTTCTTGCCAACACCCTACTGTCATGATCTGGGCTGTGCCACCAGAGGCCTACTAGGCCCAGGGAGCCTGACTAACAGTAGGTGAGGCTGGGCCTACAACTCCCAGAAGCCCCTGAGAGGTTTTGGAGCCAAAATTGACCAATAGGAAAAGAGGAGGGCTTGGAATAAAAGATCTGGAGCAGCAGGAAAAGCTGTTCTTCTTCCCAGAGGGCAGAGCCAGAAGGAAGGCTGCTGCAGGGAAGAAACCCTCATCCTGAGGGAAGGATGAGTAGTCTAAGGCCACCTGAGATAGTGAGCTAGGGACAGTATATATTTAGACGCGTTAGGGCATTTGATTTATTTTATTTTCACCCACTTACTGTTACTATTCCTGCACCTTATTGTTTGACCTCCTATAAAATAATCCTTTGCTTTGTTGTACTCTGCCTGGTCCTCACGCCTATTGTTCGGCCAAAAGGGAGGTCTGAAGGTCTTGGGAGGGTGCTCTGGGCCTTCTCAAGGGATCCTAACTCCAGAGTGGTGGCAGTGTCAGGTGACACCCCACCTGAGCCGTGACACCTACCCTGGAGACGCTTCTAAGGAACCTCAAAATAATAGATGTTTGGTGTCAGCAGTGTATAATTTGGGGAAGCTTGATACATGGTTAAGGCTTACATTGGAGTGTACAAACCAATTACTTGTTTTCTGTTGCATGTCTAATATAAAGCAATGCCATTTCCAGAAACATGCTCCTTGAAAGTGATTTGCCAAAAGGATGCTTTCAGCTGGATGCTTTCAGCTGGTAATGCTACAAGGGTCAAGCTACAGCAGATAAAATAATATCAAAATAAATATTTATTATATGGTGTATACAATAGTAACATTAAAAACATAGGGCCTGAATATCAGGCTGCATTAGAGTCAGAACAAGCTTTACATAAGCTGTAATAATTTGCCATACAAAGTTGATGAATATATCAAATGACCAACTCAAGACCAATGCTCCCTCTAAGCCGTGGAGTCTTGTGAGCAAAAATTCTACTTCATGAGCTACTGGCATTAAATTTGTGAGCAAGCAATTTGGTTCCTGCATAAATGAGTTTGCTCTGGTGCCATCCTTCCTGAGTGAAGACAAAAATGTGTGAGCTCGAGGCTAAAAAACTGTGAGCTAGCTCACACCAACTCAGCTTAAAGGGAACACTGCAGTCAAGACCATATGCGTTTCGGCCTCAAGGGCCTTCCTCAGTGGTCAAAAATACATACAGGTGTTGTTAGATATCTGATATTGTGTGGCATGATGTAAACTTACAAAACAGGCCACAGATCTCTTTACACGGTAGCCCCACTCACACGTAAATCGTCATTGATGTAATAATCTGGTATAAAGTTTCCAGTATTTCTGGATGTGTGTGTCATCAACCAGCAACTGAAGTCAAATGGCCTTGAAGCTCATCCCTTGATTTCAGTTCTCATAATATTTCTGCCTTGCATAGCATTTATCAAGCAGGCCCTGAAGAAGTTCACTAGGAACAAAATCACCATTTCATAACTATTATGTTCATTATCTAGAAATTAGTGCCTGAGTTTGCTTGTTTTCCTCTTTCCTTCCTTTTGTGCCATATGTATTGTATTGCAGAAAATTCTTTGGAATTGTTGTTGTTGTTCACTTGCACAGCTGAGTCTGACTCTTCGTGACCCCATGGACCACATCACATCAGGCCCTCCTGTCTTCCGTTGTGCTCTGGAGTTTGCTTAATTTCATGTTCGTTGCATCGATAACACTGTCTAACCATCTCATCCTTTGCTGTCCCTTTCTTCTTTTACCTTCAGTCTTTCCCAACATCAGGGTCTTTTCCAGTGAGTGTTCCCTTCTAATTTGGTGGCCAAAGTATTTGAGCTTCAGCTTCAGTATCTGGTCTTCCAGGGAACAGTCAGCGTTGATTTCTTTTAGGATTGACTGATTCGAACTCCTTGCAATCCAAGGGACTCTCAAGAGTCTTCTCCAGCATCATAATTCAAAATAATCTATTTTTCAGCACTCGGCCTTCTTTATAGTCCAACTCTCGCAGCCATACATGACTACTGGGAATACCATTGCTTTGACCATATGGACTTTTGTTAGCAGGGTGATGTCTCTACTTTTTATTGTGCTGTCTAGGTTTGCAATCGCTTTCCTCCAAAGGAGCAGGCGTCTTTTAATTTCATGGCTACAGTCACCATCTGCAGTGATCTTGGCTCCCAGGAACATGAATTCTGTCACTGCTTCCATGACTTCCCCTTCTATTTGCCAAGGAGTGATGGGGTCGGATGCCATGATCTTAGTTTTTTTGATGTTGAGTTTCAAGCCAACTTTTGTGCTCTCCTCTTTCACCTTCTGTAAGAGATTCTTTAGGCTCTCTTCACTTTCTGCCATCAGAGTGGTATCGTCTGCATATCTTTGGTTGTTGATGTTTTCCCTGGCAATCTTAATTCCGGCTTCTGATTCATCCAGGCCGGCATTTCGTATGATGTAATCTGCATATAAATTAAATAAGCAAGGTGACTATATAAATCCTTGATGTACTCCTTTTCCTATGCTAAACCTATCAGTTGTTCCATATCCGATTCTAACAACCTAAGAGGTGACTCTGCACATGGACATCACCAGATGGGCAACACTGAAATCAGATTGATTATATCATTTGCTGTCAAAGATGGAGAAGCTCTATACAGTCAGTATAGAGTCTGCAGAAGAGTCTGATTCTGAAAAAGTAGAAGTAGCTCCAAAAATACTTACAGTCCAATTGAAATTTGAGAAAGCTATACACAGGAAATAGTGACTTTATTGAAATCATGAAAGTCTATGAGTGCCTTAACTCTATGATGTACCCAATAAGGCTAAATGGGTTTGTCTTAGTTTTAGTGAAATAAGAAAACCAGTATCATCCTATTAAATGTTTTTTATCTGATAATAGTAAGAATGACCAATAAGTAACTCATATGTATTATGATCCTTGCTATATCTCTTGTTTTATTAGTGTTAGTACCCCATATATCCCTTCCCTTTGTAGTGTGTAGTAGAAAAGCAATAAATTAAAAAAAGAATTATGGTGCTGGAGAAGACTCTTGAGAGTCCCTAGGACTGCAAGGAGATCGAATCAGTCAATTCTAAAAGAAATCAACCCTGACTGTTTCCTGGAAGGCCAGGTACTTTGGCCACCAAATGAGAAGGGAGCACTCACTGGAGAAGACCCTGATGCTGGGAACGATTGAAGGTCAAAGAAGTAGGCAATGGCAAAGGATGAGATGGTTAGTGTTATGGAGGCAAGGAACATGAAATTTAACAGACAGGAGGGCCTGGCGTGATGTGGTCCATGGGGTCCCAAAGAGACTGTGCAACTGAACAACAATTCCTGGCAAGGTTATCAGGCCACTGGGCAAGTTTCACCCGCTTTAAGCTGTTTGCTTGTACAGACAGGGAGGAGCTGAGAGTCGAAGAAGCAAAAAAGTACTTATACAAACCAGAGGGTATTTTAATACTTTATAGAGGAAAAATAAGTTTTAAAAACGTTATAACATTGTTTTAAAGAATACTTAACTCTTGACTATTTGGTTTATTTATCATTCTATCGTTTTAATTTTGTATGGAAGCCACCTTGATAACATTACGCAGGGGGTGCCAGGTATTAATGTTTTAAACAAATAAACAGATTGGGTTTGTTTGTTTGGTCAAGTCTCGCACTTTTCAACTGTAAGATACAAGCCCTTTTGTAAAAAACAAAACAAAACAACAACACCACCAAAACAACAGTCTAAATAATAATGCCCTTATTAATTTTTTCCAAATATCTGTAGCCTTCAGAAAGGCGAGGAAGCGTGCAGTTTCTCGCGCCGTTCTGAAGAGTCCGCAGGCGAAGGCTCCCGAACAGCACCAAAGAGACTAGGGAAATCCCAGCAGTCCACCGAAACCCTCGGCTGAACTAGTCACCCTGCTATTGGCCTTCTTTCTTGCCCGTTTAGCGATAAGCTCCATCCCCCTCTTCAAAGCCTGACTCCACCCCTTTTGACTGAGCGGGCTCTTGTTGCCCGAAAAAAATCAACTTCTGTTATGCGTTTGCTTTTTGGTTAGAATAGAACCCTGGTGGCCACCGTACTGGGTGGGGCTAATGTAGGCCAGGGCCGCGCGGGCGGGGCCGTGGCGATGGGGAATCTGTTCGGGCGCAAGCGGCGGAGCCGGGTTACCGAGCAAGACAAGGCCGTGTTGGTGAGATAGGCGGCTGTTGGTAGCCGGTGTCGTCCAGGGCATGGAGCGATGGGTGGGATTGGTCCTGGGAGGATTTTACGGCCGATGGCTTCCAAGGTAGTTGAATAGAACCTCCACGTTCGGAGGTAGTATATCTCTGGGTAATATTTGCTGCTGAGGGCAGCAATAGAGGGAGGCTTTGGCCTCTCCACGCTTCCTGAGGACTTCTAGGTGGCCGCTCTAGGGAAGAGAATGCTGGACTAGATGGACTCTCTGACTCTCATCTGAGTAGTTTAAGCGCTCTTTGGTAAGGCAGACGTGACAAGTCCCCTTTGATGAAGGCTGCAAAGAACTTTTCATGCTTTGCATCTTACTTACTTGTTTGGGGTTCCAGCTCATCTTACCCTGCGTACATAAGGGGAGTTGTCACTTTTGACAGCTGGGCATATAATACTTCTGGGAAAAGAAATCTGTATATTATCATGCTCATGACAAAGCTTACAATTCAAAGGCCAGTTCTAAGGAGATTATTGATTTTCTTTCCCTATGCCAGTATCTCAACGAGCAAATTTACACAAAACAGTTAAAATCTGAATAAAACACTACATGAATCCTAGCCATTGCAGAATGAATTAAATGTGCTTCCAGAAGCTGTTCAGGCCTAGAATATAGCTACTCTTCTGAAGAGCTGGTTCCTCAACTACTAAAAAGGTAAAGGTTTCCCTTGCTTGAAAGCCAGTCAAATCCGACTCTTAAGGGGTGGTGCTCATCTCCGTTTCCAAGCTGAACAGCCAGCGCTGTCCAAAGACATTTCCGTGGTCATGTGGCCGGTATGACTAAATGCCGAGGCACACCTTCCCACCAAAGCGGTTCCTATTTATCTACTTGCAGTTCCTTGCTTTTGAACTGCTAGGCTGGCAGAAGCTGAGTCCAGAGATGGGAGCTCACTCCATCATGTGGCACTAGGGTCTTGAACTGTCGAACTACAGATTTTCCGGTCTGCAGTTCAGCGTCTTAACCTCTAAGCCACTGCAACCCCTTTCTCAACTACTGGGAGACCCCAAAACAGCGTCTCTTCCATTCTGCTTGGCTGTTATAAACAAGTGGAATAGAGACAGAATACTTAAAAAGCAGTAAAATGTTGCATAAATTAGCATATTACATGGGATGAGGTGTTACAGGGTATACACACAGGGCCTGGGAAATAAGAATAACATACACAGGAAGCTGTAGAAGCCCTGCATGATGAATCCTGTGGTTGAGAATCATTGAGGGCAAGTGGGTAGTGTGTCTGATGTGAAGCAGAGGGACCTGGCATTGAAACCTTATCTTAACCACAAAGTTGCTGACCTGTATCCAACCAATACAGTCGCTTTGATGGGACAGAACTTTCATTTGCAGAAGGGGAGGGGTGATTTCTTCCTATTTTCCTTTCCACTGAGCACTCCCGCTTTGCCCTCTGTGCCATTCCTGAGAGTCCAGTGACCCACCAGGAACAAAAATTGGAGGCCTCAGTGGGCTTCAGCAAGAGGAGGAAAGAAGAAAAGCCTGCTTCACAAAGCGCATGGATGGTTGGATACATGTCACTGTCTGACTCAGCTCAGTTTGCTGTTTGGAAAATGGAAGAACTGACTTGCAGAATTTTTGTAAGAGAAATATAAAGAGCTAGATTTGACTCCAGTAGCCCCCTTAAAGACCAACAGGTTTCCTGGGTATAGGCTCTCAAGAGTCAAAGCTCCCTTCAGTGGATACATCAAAAGCTTATATCCCAAAAATGTTGCTGGTCTTTAAGGTGCTACTGAACTCAAATCTTGCTCTTCTACTACAGGCCAGCACAGCTACTCTCCCGAAAGAATTACAGAGTGTCTTACGCATTAAAACTCCTTAGATAGCTAGGGTGGCTCTTTGGTCCACATAGGGATACATACTAGGTGCAAAGCTTCTGCTGTGTAGCTTTGAGGTGTGCAGTTGGAAAGTCCCAGCAGTGATCGCTTAGTCTGTTGGTGCACCGGAGCCTATTAGCCAAGTGACTCTTGAACAGCTAAACATCATGTGATGTTAAGAACCTTTTAATTTTTAACAGTTAATTTGTTTATGCTTCTGAGCCCTATTTGATCTGTAAGCAACTATTGGTAGTTACTTCCACTTTCAGTTATGTTTGCACTTTCCATATACCTAGAATTACTGTTTGCCCTACCATGTTAATTTGTCTTAACTCCAGATCCTTTGCCATTGTTGGGCATCCAAAGATTTCAAAATGGCAGATCTTTTAGCTCTTGTTGCTAGATTACGTATTGCTGTCTCATCTTCAAGATGGGAATAAACATGATCACAGAGTAGTAAAAACAAAATTTGTTTTACCACATTTGTCTTTCAGAAGCCAGTTAAAAAGTAAGGTTAAGGCTGATTGTTATTTTAGAACCATCAAACTAATAGAAGATAGCAGTGTGAAAATTACTGAGGTGGATATCTAAGATATCCATTCTAATCCTTAGGGTGTTCCTAATAATTTACAGGTATCAGAAGCAATGCCAAAGGAGTGCAGTTGTTTGTGCTCTGTATTTATGAAGCCTCTTAAAACATCTGTCTTTGGACACAATTAAAGATAGAGTCCTTAGTATAATTAATTAAACCTGTTCCAGTCTTCTGGTTATCATTTCTTACGTCCAGTGGAGGAGTCTATGATCAATCCCTATTAGAACTTGCTACACACACTCCTACTGAATATTCCATCCTGTTGACTGCAGTAATTCTGCATAGGGTTGCAATGTAAATAACAGTTTTTGCAAGTCTGAGTGTCCTGAATCTTATTTGATGTTCTTTGTTAAGTATGTTTAAAAAACAAACAGACAGCACTGCCCTGTCCTGGACAGCCCAGGCAAGCCTGATCTCATCAGATCCTGGAAGTTAAGCAGGGCTGACCCTGGCAAGTACTTGGAAGGGAGACCTCCGAGGAATACCAGGGCTGGGAGGCAGAGGCAGGCAGTAGCAAAGCCACCTCTCTGAAACATCCAAGCCCCACTAGGGGTCTCCAGAAGTCAACCATGACTTCCAGACATACATACACAAACACTCGCCAAAACCCCCCCCCCAACCCAGCCCCAGAATACTTGTGGTTTTATTGTCCTGCCACTTTAAAAAAGTGTGAGATTGGCTATACTAGACCCAGAGGTGTCAAACCTACAGCCCACGGTCCAGATCCAACCCACCCAGGCCTTTAATCCAAACTGGGAGTGGGGCTCTCTTCTGTCCCCCCTCCCCTGCCCATCCTCACTGTTCTGAGCTTGAGCTGCCTTGGAGTATAAAGAGCAGAGGGCGGGGCTGCCTCTGAGAGAAGGAAGCAGAGGGCAGGGCTGCCAAGCTTCCCAGCCTCCGCTCCCAGCCTCCGCAGTCTTCCTCACAGGTAGGAGCTGGGGGGGGGGGTTTCCCTTCTGCGGTGATCCTTGTGCTTCTTTTTTATTTTAAAACTTGCTTTGCAAAATCCCACTGTTCCCCCACCTTTCCAATTTAGGCAGGCATGTTTTAAAGGTGCAGGGGGGAGGTTTGGGACCAGCCAGGGTTAAAATATAGAGTTCTGCAAACTCAAGGGTCTCCAGTTTTGCAGAGAAATATTAGTTTTAACACATACCCTCTCCTATGGAATAATAGCAGAACAAGTGCTGAAGAGGACACCCAAAATTATTATCTCAAACCACCCTGTAAAAAAACCCCTGAGACCCTGGAGAATCACTGCTACTCTGAGTAGACTTGGGGGGTGGGGAGGCTTGCAATGCTCAGCCATTTCATGTTCTTCCCCTAGGTCCTAGGCTCAGACAATTTATATTTGTAGTTTATATTTTTAGGGGGGGGTTGAGACTAACCACAGTTAAAGTATAAAGATCAACAAACTCAAGGAGCTTCAGTTTTGCAAAGAAATATTACCCTCCTAATGTGGAGCTCCAATGGAACAGCTGCTATAATATCTTTAATAGTGTTTGTCTGTGTCCTTTAAAAAGTTTATATCTCTGCTACCTAGCATTACATTTTATGACACACATGGCCTGGTCCGACAAAGTCCAATTTATGTCAAATCCAGCCCTCATGAGTTTGACACCCCTGTGCTAAACAGTCCTTAAGAGAAGAACTGCCATGTAATTTGCTAAATCTAATGGTCTTGATGTCTTATCCTGTTTGTCTCTCATGAATATGCCCAATAGCCTTGTTCACAAGTTACAGTGACTGCACATACAATCCGTGTATTTTTCGTTGTGCAAGCATTGAGTAATTCTCATGCTACATGTGATTGAAAGTCCATATTTATCCAGGTACTGGTCTGCAGTTTCATTTGTAAAGGGAATGCATTTTGGCTCTTTCTTACAAACAGGTGGTTATGCATGTATGTGCAGGTTGTACATGTGTTCGTTGAACCATGTGAGCAGTTTTACCGTAAGAGGTGTTGCACCAGAAACACAATAGCAGTTAGTTTGTGCTTAACGTTGCAAAGCGTTGCATCCAGCTTTTATCACTGCCTGTGCAGCAAGGTGCTGACGACACTACCAGGGAGCACATGGGGAGCAGGATTACTGGTGATGTAGTTCAGTCTGCTTAAAGGGGATGTATTGGTGCTGCTTTCCAGTGGTCGTAATACTACAACTTGGCAGTGTCTAATTGTCCTTTGTCCTTTAGCAATTGAAACAACAGCGGGACAAATTAAAACAATATCAGAAAAGGATATCTCTGCATCTGGAGCGGGAGAGAACGGTTGCTCTGCAGCTCCTGAAAGATGGCAAGAAAGAGTAAGTGAGGATCAGTTGGTTGCATTCTTTCCACTCAGAGGTGTGTTTATAAGCTAGTTCAGACAGTCAAGATCTTCTCATTTCACCTGTTTCTGACAAGTGTTTGAGCAGAGAATTTAATACCCTCTGATAAATCCATATCTGCTCAGAAGTGATTCCTATGACCATAGTGACTTTCAAAAAGTGCTTCTGTGGTTGAAGAACCTGCCAGTGGGGAGCTAGAGTCTTTTTCATGTGAATTTGCCATGAGGAATGGGGTGTAGAAAAAGGTCTGAAATGGCCCTTTTGAGCCTGAACTTTGTTGTTGCTTCAGTTAAAGCTCTAACTATTCTGGCTCAATCTGTGTAGAGGTTAGAGAGGAAGGAAATACTTTGCATGTACAGTGTCTCTTGTCTTTGTCTTTGGTTAAAGGGGGGGGGGCACTGGGGATCAACCCTGGCAGTACAATAGTATTTCATTTGTCACAAAAAATGGGAATAATTTAAACTGCATGGTTGAACTCTTAATTTTTTTAAGTTGGTGACTACTTTAGTTCTAGAGCAAAGTTTGAGTCCAGTGGCACCTTTAAGAATAAAATTTTATTCAAGGTATAAGCTTTCGTGTGCAAGGCACACTTCCTCACATGAAAGCTTATACCTTGAATAAAATCTTGTTGGTCTTAAAGATGCCACCGGACTCAAACTATGTTCTGCTGCTTCAGACCAACACGGCTACCCCCACCTGAATCTATATTAGTTCTAGTTTCTTGAAGGACTGTTTGTGCTTGAGCCACAGACCTGTTTATTACATCTTCCATGGGAGCCACTGCATTTTTTTTATGACAGCTCACATCGTGGACAGATTATGTATGCTCCACCTTGCATTCTGCAAGGCTGAAGGAAGCCCCAAATGCAGTAGTGCTGTATTTTCTTCTGTGTGTCTTAAATGCAGGGGATACTTGCTTTAAAACAAGCTTACCTCTACAAAAAAATGTCTTAGTTCTTTGTTTTTGCTGTGTGTCATGCATTGTTTTAGCTCTGCAACCTTTTCATTGAGAGGGGAGGATGGAGTATATGATCTGTAAGTCCCCTGTGAGCTCTGGGGCTCTAAAGACCAGTTTGGAGTCTGAGCTTTGTTGACCATTGATTTGATTTTGAGCCTTGGAGCTGTTGTGAGTGCTTGGCAGCAGCTGCTGCAATAATGCCATGAAGATTTCTGGTACTGAGTCTCTGGGAGAGTTGAAAATTAAAGAGCACATATTATAATGCCATGATATTAATGTCTAAAGTGTGGGCCGTTTTGGTTTCCACCATCTTTACTGTAATGCTGCAAAAGGTAAACGGTGGAAAAAGCAAGTAAAATGAAAATGGTGAAAGAGACTCTTGTGGGGAAAAGGTGCAGGTAGGTGAAACTTTTTAGCCAAGAACCAAAACAGACATATCTGATACAACAGAAGTTTACAGAGTTGAGTCTGGTTTGGGAGAGCTCAAAAAATGAGCAACCCATTGACACTTCAAGAGAGAATGCTGGACTTGAAATAGTTTTGTTGTAGTCCAGTAAAGTGTGAGGCTTTGGTGTGAGCCAGTTTGGTGTAGTGGTTAAGTGTGCGGACTCTAATCTGGGAGAACCAGGTTTGATTCCCCACTCCTCCACTTGCACCTGCTGATGTTACCTTGGGTCAGTCACAAGCTCTGGCACAGCTGTTTCTAAAAGAGCAGTTTGTGTCAGAGTTCTCTCAGCCCCACCCACCTCACAGGGTGTCTGTTGTGGGGAGGGGAAGGGAAAGGAGTTTGTAAGCCGCTCTGAGACACCTTTGGGTAGTGAAGGGTGCGGGGTATAAATCCAATCTCTTCTTCTTCATCATCATCATCATGCTTTGTAAAGTCTTGTTTGTTGCCATCTGTGCTCTTCTCTCCATCTAGAAAAGCCAAATTGCTGCTGAAGAAGAAGCGCTATCAAGAACAGCTGCTGGAGAAAACAGACAACCAAATTAGCAACTTGGAGCGCATGGTATGTGAGCTTTCAGCAGTTTATGACTGAGCTCCACATGTTCATTTCTTCTAAAACTGGGGTGTAGCTGCATTTAATGCCCTAGCTAGGGGCCAGTTCACCACCAAGCAGCTGCTTGGGACAGCCAGCAGAGAGTAGTGACATGGGAAGGTAGCTTGGGCTGGGCTGTGGCCCATGGTGGGCTGGGCTGCAGAAGCAGCATGGAAGCTGGCCTGAGCTTCCTCTTGCACCTGCCTCCTCAGATTTGTCCCAGGTGGCATGTAGAAAAAGTCACTTTTTTGGCAGCCCACTTTGGATCCTGCCGGCGGCGGGAGGGGGGTTCTTGGAATGACTCCCTAGTTTAAGCCAGCTCTGTCCCTAGCACACATGAAACTTTGTGCTGAAGGGTAAGATCAATATCTTGCTTGCACTGTAGTTTTCTTGTTTTTCTTCCAGTGCTGAAGTAAATGAGTAGAGAAAGGTGTAGCCAAGTGTCACATGAATGGTTTTTTAAAGAATTATTTATTAAAACATTTGTATCCCACTTTTCCTTATGGTTCAAGGTGGCTTATAGTAATAGTTAAAAACATTTTCTGTTAAAATCAAAATTAAAATAGCAGACCCCAACCTTTGAACTGCACTCTGCTTGCCAGGGTACAGAGGTGTTGGGTTTTTGAAGTTTCTTGAAACTTCCCACCACACTCATTTCCTAACATCTGCTGCAGCCCACCTGAGTTCTGGGCTCTCATTCCACAGTAGTCCTCTAGTGGTGTCTGCATTATGGCAGTAATACAGTCTCCTGCTGGGGAGAGTGGCTTGTTCACGCAGCTGCTTAGAGAGATGAGCAGGTGTATACAGAATTTGTGTAGCAGAGAGGTTTGTGTGGCTGAGTTCCTACTGCATTTTACATTACAACTGGTACAGCAAGGTCCTCATCCAGTATCACTGGGCAACTTAGTCTGGATGTTTGTGCAAGGATGTGGTCTGTGCAAGGATGCATGCTGTGTTTCCAGGCTTCCCTTCTGACAAATAGCCGCTCAGCAGTAAGCACGTGGGGAGGGTCTGGCAAGTGCAACAGCATTGTCTCTGTGCTGAGGCCAGAAGCATGTCACTGATTTGCATAGTCACAGGACTTCCACTGCACAAAACCAGTTCTTCTGCCCCCTTCTTGGTTACTTGTGTTATATGGAAAGAATAGTGCATACCAATACCCAAGCTGCAATGACTGCTTTCCTTACGGCCTGTTAGAAGACCTGACCCCTCTGTTGACTTCTGTTTCTTCAGGTCCAGGATATTGAGTTCACCCAAATCGAGATGAAAGTGATTGAGGGCCTCAAAATTGGCAACGAGTGCTTAAATAAGATGCATCAGGTAGGTACCAGCTGGGGTTCTTAAGCTGTCTCAAATCTGAACACTGGATGTTTGTATGTCTGTTCTGGACATCCTTCTTTACATGTGGTTTGAACTTCTGTTTCTGTAGGTTATGTCAGTAGAAGAAGTGGAAAGGATCATAGATGAAACCCAAGACGCTATAGAGTACCAGAGGGTATGTATTGCCTCCGTTTCCTAAACAATGGACCGTTGTTGTTTTTTTACAAAATTTGTACCCCACCTTTCTGCCTTCATCAGGGCTACCAAGGTGGCTAACAGATTTTTTAAAAAGTAATAAAAACACATCTTGAAATGCACATACAAAGGCAGCAATGAAAACATAGGGCAGGAAAGTGGGATCTCTGAGGGAATGCTAGTTAAACAAGCAAAGTCTTCATCAACTGGTGGAAGTCAGCAACAGAAGGGGATGGGCAGATCTCTTCGGGAAGAACATTTCAGAGTTTTGGTGCTGTGACCAAGAAGGCTCTTTCCTGGGTTGCCACCAACCTAATGTCAGAAGGTGGGGGCACCCAAAGCAGTGTCTCAGAAGATGACTGTAGCATTCAGGTAGGTTTGTAAGGGAATAGGCGGTCCTTCAAGTATGCTGGTCCCAATCCATGTAGGACTTTAAAGGTTAACAACAGCACCTTGAATTGTGCCCAGAAACAGATTGGGAGCCAGTGTAGATGGTTCCTAAGACCTACTCCAGTCAGCATCCTGGCTGCAGTGTTCTACACCAGATGAAGTTTCTGAATACTTTCCAGGGCCAGCCCCATATGCAGTGCATTGCAGTAATCCAATCTAGATGTAACCAGGACATGCATGTATGCACCACAGTGGCCAGATCTTCCTGCCCAGGAAAGGCTGCAGCTGACTAACCAGGTGGAGCTGGTAAAAGGCACTCCTGGCCACAGCTGCCACCCACTTATGCAGCAGTATGTCCAAGAGCACCCCCAGGCTATGGACCTCTTCCTTCAAAGGGAGCACATCCCCAGCCAGAACAGGTGACCCTTTGAATCCTGGGTCAAGCCTTCTGTCACCCGTAGCACTTCCTTCTTGTCAGGATTAAGCTTACTATATTAGCCCACATTGACTCCAAAACTGCCTCCAAGCACCAGTTCAGGATTTCTACAGCCTCTCTGGGATCAGCCGGAAGCATGATATAGACCTGAGTGCTATCTGTATGTATAGCTTGTATCCCATCATTCCACCAGTTTGGTTTTCAGCATGTTTTGGATGGCCACCTAACGTCCTTGTTGAAGAAAAATACATTTTGTTTTTACATATTTAATACAATTGTAGTCTAGAGATTATTAATACTGAATATGAGATTAAAACAAAAAGATAGCTAGGCAGTTTAAAACAGGTTGGAGATAGCTTTTGCTTGTGATGAATTTGATTACACA